GTCTTGCGACCAATCGGGCCGTTGCATTGTAATGATTTCCTGGCCGAGTGTTCCAGTTAGGATAGTATGGCCAGGTAATTGGCTAAATCTTCAGACCATAATAATGATCACAGCGTTTTGGGTTGAGGAAACATGTGTATTGAATTGTAACAACGTCATGGTTTGGAGAGAGAGCGAGATAGAGCGAGATGTAATGAGAGGTTATAGGATACGGAGAGAATAGAATAGAGAGAGAAAATGATATAATGAGAGCTTATGACATACATAGATAATAAAATAGGGAGAGCGAGATGTATTGAGAGGTTACAGGATGCAGAGATAACAGAATAGAGAGAGAAAACGATATAATGAGAGCATATGAGATATAGATAATAAAATAGGGAGAGAGCGAGATAGAGAGAGAAGTAAAGAAAGGTTATAAGATAACAAGAGAAAAATTGTAATATTAGGAGAGAGATAACGAGATGTATATAGAGCTTATGAGAATAAAATAGAGAGATCGTAATAGAGCGAGATAGAACGAGATATCTAGAGGTTATAGGATGCAGAGAGAATAGAATAGAGAGAGAAAAGAGATGTAATGAGAGCTTATGAGATACATAAATTGTAAATTAGGGAGAGCAAGATAGAACGAGATGTGGAGAGGTAATGAGATACAAAGAGAATAAAATAGAGAGATAATGAGATATAGAGAGAGCTCATGAGATGCAGATAATAAAAGAGGGAGACAGATATGTAGTATAGAGGTATCGAGATAAAGAGAGAACGACAAAGAAATAGGAAACGTGAATGAGAGAAAGAAAGAGAAAGTGTTTTGTAGGGACGCAAGTCTTTTGAGTTCTCATAAATACTCTCACATGATTAAACATTAAACCTTGTTAATCTTGCATCGAGTAAGCAACATGTCACCTTCTTTTAACGTTCCTACTCAAGGCACATGAAGTAGAGTTCATCTGTTTCAATGACATCGGCATACAGGCGGGGGATAGTCTGGTCAGCACTTTGCCAAGCCGCTATTGTTTCTCTTACTTGCTAAGATGCACAACATATTTAGAGGTCAACATATTAATGGAAGCGACCATTCCATCATTTTCTATCTAAATAACACTTACAAAATGCCGCTACTTCTGTTCAGTGTTTCTTCCAGACTTTTTTCTCCGCGGGGGGGGGGGGGGGGGCGCTTGACACTGTTAAAAGTGTATATTTTCTATATAAATTCTAATTCGTTCGGTGAGGGGGGGGGGGAGGGGCGGAAGAGATGCCTGGAAGAAACACTGCAAACGGGGGGGGGGGGCACTTGAAATTGTAGGGGGGGGGTGGTAGACTTTCTTCGGGGTGGGGGGTGGGGGACACTGTTAAAAAATAAATTTTCTATATAAATTTCATTTTGTTCGTGGGGGGGGGGGGGGGCGGTAGATTTTTTTCGGGGGGTGGGGGAACTCTGGCTACCTGTCTTTTATTTCCGTTTATCGTAGAACTCAAACCCTAACCGCGCCACGACCACGCCGGTTGTAAGTCGTGACGCTCCCCAGCCAATCCCCAGACAGTAAACACGGCACGTGGTTAAAATCAACCAATGGCGTGCTCTGTGTTTGCTCTCCTCTCGACTTTTGTTGATCTCCCTGCGTCATTTAATTAGTCCATCCGGCAATTCATCACACGGCATACGGCCGCAGGGGGGAAAGCGATAATTATCGCTGATTGTTAAATGCTTTGTTTCTTCTCACCTTCTAAGCAAAACCCTTAAAATAAAATAAAAAGAATAAAAAATAGGGCGGGGTTTTTATAGCAGTGTCCGATAATGCAACCATATCAGTGACCGATAATGCAACTATAATGACATCTTCTAAAAATGGGATTTTGATTGTTTAAGCAATTAATACTCATATTTCAAAATAACTATGGGGTGTACTTGATACAACGATTAAACGGCTTTTCAATGGCTTATATTCGATATAAAAATATAAAAATGAGTGTAATTGATGGTTCCCGAACGGCTTTTATTTTTACAAATGTAACCATAATTTTATTGCTTGCTTTACTTTTAATAAGGTTTTTCAAAAATTTAGTATGATTACATAGATTTTTTGTACCTATTGAAATAGAGCACACCTGATTCTGTAAAATCAGCTTATGGAGGGATAGTGTGGTCACCACTATGTCCAGCCGCCTTTTTTAACTCTCCCTAACGTGAGTTATGTTCACATAAGAGCTGGCTAAAATTGTTCTACTGACATGAACCTGGATTTGAACTCGTCATATGTGGGTTAGCAGTCTAGAGCTCTACCTTTAGGTAAAGCCGTCACGTATCCTATTCATCCCTATTTTTATGAGACAATAGCAAAGATAAAGCCAAAATGTGTTTAAAACTCAACTCGTTTTGGAAGATAAATTAACTAGTATTATTTTTTTTCTTCCATTTTCAACAGAACTTTTCAAACCAAAGCACCTAAAAACCACGTGCAAGTCGTCTGCAACTCAATACCAAGAACATCCAGCCATCCAGCACCAAAACATCTTTACCCAATCATGGAGCTCCACGTTGCCGCAATCGTCATCGTCGTCATCTGCGCATGCGCCGTGTCCTCTGCCCCCGCGACCAACCGGCGGGAAGACATGACGCAACTGGTATCGATACTCAGCAAAATAAAGGACATCAACAGACACCACCCGGCGTCGAACCCAGACAGTGCCAGAACGGGGGCGTCGTTTCCAGACGGTGACTCAGACTTGACCAGCGCGCAAGCAGACGATGACGCCTTGACCAAAGGGTTCCTTGGAGTCATGAACAAACGGGAGGGGAGCTGGTCCTACGATTACGGACTCGGAGGTGGGCGATTCGGCAAGAGGAATTACGGGGACTACGGTATCGGGGGCGGTAGATTCGGACGGGATGTGGACCATGTCGATCTGATGGACACCAACGATGCTTCATAGGGAAGAGCTGGCTGGGTATCGGGGCGAGGTTGATCCGAATCTGTCCTAGAGTACTGTAACAAAAAAAGTATATTTGCTATTAAAAGTGGTAACTGTTGCTTATTGTTCTGAAAGAAAGAAAATTTCAAATCAATGATTGTTTCGTTTCTATTTTTTTCTTAAAAAAAAATAAATTGTATTGTGTATTACAGAGCAATCATAAAACTTTAACTTAGCATTTTTAAAATAAAGGCAAAGAGATTTTTTTTTTAAATGGTGCATATTAAAGAACAACTTAAAAATAGAAATTATTATTTTTTGTCAAATAATGAAGAAATAAAAAGTTTAAACAATGTACAGAAATTAAAATTGTATTTTTCTTCATTAAAACAAATTTGCACGCAGAGAAACAGTGTTTCATTCTTCAAACTTAAAACGCGAACAAAATAACATCCATATTCACCTGATTGAACATATTCATCCATAGATGCCACATAGACCTTCACAACCAATTATAATCAACAAGAGACGATAGCCGGTTTGAGAATGTCAATTAATAGTTAATAAATCAAATATTGGTGTGTTCTTCGTCTAGTTATAGGATAACACCAGAACGTATGAAGCGTGATGTTGTTATTAAAGCTAAACATATATATGTGAATCAAATAGTAACACATATAAAGAAAGCAAGCGAGCAGTGTTTCTTCCAGACTTTTTTCCGGTGGGAGGCATTTGAAATTTTCGGGGTGGGGGGGGGGGGAGGGGGGCTAACATTTCCGGATGGGGGGGGGGGGGGGGATCGGTAAAGTATATATTTTCTATATAAATTATAATTTCGTCCGAGGAGGGGGGGGGGGGGCGGTAGACGTTTTTTTTTTTCATTTTGTTTTTGAGAATATCAAACAGACTTCAATATGCTATAGACTATACACGAAGCCTTAAGTGAAGTTGCTAAGGCAACTTAAACAGTTAACAAGCATAGTTGAACCTGCACTATATGGTTAACTTACACTGGACAGATACAATGCTAGCAAAACACATACTACGTATATTATAAGCGAATAGTGGTTTTTTTTCCTACTAAAGCAATACGCTATGCACATGATTCATGGCAATTTTTAACAATATAAAACACAAACTAAATGGATCATACAGAATATAATGTCATAGTACTGATTTTTCTAGACAAATATACAATTCAGATTCATAATGTTAGTTTATTTTTATAAATGTTTAATCTACGTTGATATTCATAAAACGAATCTATCAAGAAAATGTGCAAAACGAAATTCATAATACGAATCTATTTTGATAAAAACAAAATACAGCTGTCATAATACGAATCTATCTAAACTTTATAATGCAAACGTCGATGTAAGAATAAATTAAAATAAATATACAATATAGATGACAAAATATGAATCTATCTAGAAAAATATAAATTTGTCATAATACGAATGTTTCGATGAGTAAGCATGTGATCATCTACAAATGAAAAATGTATCTTTAATCAACAGGACAATTAGGCACAAATTCCGAGACTGAAGGTGTTTAGTTGTATTCATTAAAAAATAGCCAAAAAAAAAAATCTACATCCTAAAGGGAAACATTCATCAACACACTCCAATTCTAAAATCAAGGGAGACTACATCTTTAAAAGATCCTTGGTCACGATTTAAGAGTTATTGTTCTTATCCTAACCACATGCATGTAATTGTAAATGCTATATAATAAAACGTAGCCCACTTTCCCTAAACTATTGCATTAATTGCATGTTTGCATATGAACTTCTCAGCATTATGGTTTTGGTAAGTAGTGAGCTTAGGTGCTATTCGTATTCATAAATCCAATGTATCTAATTAAGTGATTTTAATTAGTAACCGTCATGATCCATCAACATGACCTATATATTTTTGGCTATGCTATCATAGTACTGGAACGGCTAGCTATCTATTTTCTTATCAGTCATTTTTAAAAAACAATGTGCTTTGCTTTTTTTAATGAAGTTTAAGCTTATTATATAAAGTGAATTTAAAAAGAACAGAAAACTATGGGCTAGTTTATGATGTTGTTAAACAGATGTGTTCAGTTTGAGCACTATAGAATACAATGTTGTCCGCGCTGCTTGTTATTGCTGTCTGTATGACAGCCACAGCTGTCAGTGCACTCAATAAACCCTGCTTGAGTGACCAGTTGGAATATGGCGGATACGACAGCTTTGGGGTGAGCTGAGTTATATATTTAATGTGATTGATTGGTATTGATTATATATCAGTTAAACCAATAGTTGTACCAGACAATAACGAATAAAAAAGACATATTTTCTAACTCGGTCCTAAAACCTTATCTCACTTTAGCTTATAGTTGTGTACCATAAACTATCTAATGTATTAAATAATAAATGTAGATGACAAATGGCCGCAAAACTATAATTTTAGACCTAAATGTATACAAATTATGCAACAAAATGATTTTTTTTTAAAAATGGCACTAATTTAATAGATGTAGACAAATTTTATGTAAAATTCTATTACGGTCTATTTTTTTGTTACCAGAGGTACTCGTACAATGCCCTGGACTTTAAGAAAAAAATGTCCGGACTACAAAGGATCGCCGGGTCAAAAATGGTGAAAGATTTTGTAAGTAGCTTTTGATGAGTATTAAACAAATAAAATGAGTATGAAAGAAATACAATGAGTATGAAAGAAATGCACACACAAAACAAATGCAATGAGTTTGGAATATATACCCGCCACGGTGAGCGGCACACCTATGGGAAATAACAGGTAAAATTTCAGCTGATGTAGAAATTAAGAAAAGATGATGGGGTTAGCTAGGGAGGTCACACAATGCGCAGACCGCCAACCAATATAGTTAGACAGGTTTTAAGGTGTAACACACAAGGTAAGTTCAAAAGAGGTCGAATAAGAAGCACCTGGCGACGGGCATATTGAAACTACAAAGATATGCTAAACTTAGAGTCAGGTTGAGAAAATGGCACAGGACAGAGGACTAGGGAGGTCTTTGGTTGGCGGTCCATACCCCAGCAGGACTTAGGATTCTGGAGATCTTTGGTTGGCGGCCTATACCCCAGCAGGGGTGATGTGCCGTTACGATACAATGAAATAAAAATTCATATATCAGAACTAACACAAAACGTTTTAAGAATTGTATTTAAATTAATAAAATGATATCTTCAACTTGTAAATATAGTTCAATTCGTCTATCCTTTGTGGGTGGGTTTTTTCCATAAGAACGTTATATATTTTCTTTTTAGATATACTTTTTATTGTTAAACAAATAGTTAACGTAATGTTTTTTTTAATCCACAACATAAAATCTGAATCATTAATATATTTAAAAAAAATAACCCATTAGAATTTCGAAATGCAACGTTGTATAGAGTTTTAATTACCAGCTATACAAAATCTAATGTGACAATATTGTTAAGATATTTTAAACAGGAATCAAACAATGGGAGATTACTTCAACAAAACATAAAGCAACATGTATAATGATTAAGTCCCTTTATCTCCGCATATATAGATACCTCCCAACTTAGTTTTAGCCAGTAACGACAACTCAACTCTCCACAGTCAGGTGCCCAGGCTAGACGTTACGACATCACCCCAGACAACTGTACTGTGACTAACATCAGTAGCTCGCCAGACACCCCACAGTGTGTACCAGGTAACCAACTAGCTATTCGCCAGCTATTCATCTCTGCGCAGCTAGGACGAAAAAAAAACTATTTAAACAACAAGAAAATAATAAACATCTATAAAAACAGTAATGCAAAAATCCTTGAGAGTTACTCACACGTGTCTAGAATTATTTTTTTGTGGAACTGTTATGGTGTATAGAAAAAAATAAAAATAAATAAAATAAAAAAACATCATGTAGTAAATTAACAACACAAAACATTTACAAGTCAAGTTTATTTCTTTATGGACATTGAAATCTATAATTTTTTCACAATAAACTATAGGAACATTCATATATTTTTATCATATATTTTTCATATTTTTATCATCATAAAGTATGGGAACATTCATAACACTATGTATTATACGTTTTATGTAGAGTCTATATAGAAGTTATTGTTTTTTCATTTCAGACGACGCAATGAAGGTACCAGCCAATGAGGGCTTCGCCTGGAAGTTTCAGAACGTAGATGGCGCCACGTTGTTCTACAATGTCACCTCCGACCCATCTATGGCAACTGTGGTTCTAGAGAAAGATTCGCCTAGTAAAATTATTTTCTTCCTGATTATTCCATCTGTATTACAGCAAAAGTCCGAAAAAAAATGATAACTCCTTCTTTCAGACTTAGCGATCAATAGAAATAATAAAGAAGAGTTATGGTTACTTACATCGTAGTATGAAGGGATGGTGTGATCAGCATCATGGCAAACCACCTTTGCTTTTCTTGACATAATGCATGTATCCGACTGAGCTGGCTGGGCCCAGAAACGTCAGGAGGTGGGGGGGGGGGGGGTGGGTGGGGGTGGGGGGGAAGAGAGAAAGTGTGACGTCATAGTTATAAAGTTTTACAATTTTAAAGGTTACTATGCAATTTGGTGATTTTTTTATTTGAATTTTTTTCTGAATTGTATCAAAGTATTTAAATGTCACCACACAAAAGCAATATTTTAGAAAGAAATGTGGTTTTGAAATGGAAAATCGCTTTTAAAAAAGATAGGCGGGTGTGCCGTTATTTTAGGGTAATGAGCCTTGATATTTTATGACGGTGAGGAATCTTGATATTTTATGACGATGCTAATTCTTGATATATTTTATGACGGTGAAGAATCTTGATATTTTATGACCATGATGAATGTTGATATTTTATAACAATGTGTGGCAATTGGGATTACGAGTAAGGGGTTACAATGGGAAAAAAAATAGTTAAAACTTTAGTCTTCATAAAATGAGTCTAATAAAATTTTTAACGATTGTATTTTGACTATTTGCGTGGTTATCGTACTGATTGAACTAAGAAAACGTAGGAAAGCGAACAGAGTCATTTTTATATTGAATACAGTACAGTCAAGCTCTCCTAGTACTTGATGTTACTTACATATTGTTTTATATTCCTTAAACACACTAGAACAACAAGCCAACGTTATTTACATGTTTATATTCCTTTACCACATGTCGTTTTATGTTCGTTTAATACATGTCGTTTTATATTCGTTTAACACATGTTGTTTTATATTCCTTTAATACATGTTGTTTTATATTTATTTAACACATTAGAACAACAAGCCAACGTTATTTACATGTTTATATTCCTTTAACACATGTCGTTTTAAATCCTTCACATACTAGAACAACAAGCCAACGTTACTTATGTGTTATTTTATATTCTTTTAACACTTATTGTTTTATATTCCTTTAACACACTAGAACAACAAGCCAACGTTATTTACTTTAACTGGAGCACGGTGATTACAGACGCAGATATATTTGTCATACCAGCACGTTGCCATGGTAACTAGAATACGTCATCAAATCTGTAACTTGAAAAACAATTAAAATTGTGTTTAAAAACTTGACATTAAACCAGTGAAATTTTTTGTTTGTTTTTGTTTAATATGTCATTTAGAACATACATAAGTCTTGGTTTGGATTTGAGAAGTTAGGATCACAGTTAATTTGACTACTAGTAGCATCAATAAGATACAGCTTTACCAACCTAAAAAATTTTGTTTTTGTTCGTGTGCATAGCTGTAGATTGCGTTCCTGAGAGTTCAATAAAAAGTTATGCTTTTATTCGTTTCAACATCAGCAGTTTCGTTTTAAGGCGGGCATGATGGGGGTGCGCAGGCCACACCGGTGATACTATTTAGGGGATGACACAAAAATAAAAATCATAAAATAACTGTTAAAGCAATGCTGTATTCAGTTAATATAATAAACTAGCCAGATATATAAGTGACACAAAGTCATACTGTTCTATCCAGTTAATTTAATAAATTAGTAGGGGCTCAAGATCACACCACACTAAACTTACATAATTAATGTAGGAAATATAGGGACATTATCTGTTACCTCAACGGGTGACACCCGTCCTAGTGACGCCCCTGTATTTCACTCCTACAATACGCTATTCACTCACATTGTAAAATTGTATTAAAATCGCAATGCCATTGACTGATAACAATACCCTTAAAGTAAAGAGATATTTTAGAACTAGTCTAGCAAGAGTTTCTTGTCTAAATATTGAAATAAAAAAGCAAATAATCCTTGTAAAATCCTATCCAATGGCGCCAAATCCCTGACAATCTCCGCTACAGCTGTGTGCTGATAACTGTAATCGCCTGAATCGATTGTATGAACCTGTGGATTAAGCCGTTATATATTGTAAACAATGATATCGGCGAAGTATCAAGTTTATCAAATTTTTGTTAATCAATATAGATCCAATACCAAAAAAAATCACTTATAAAATAATACTGTAGCATAATGGTAGGATAACTTTGTAGGCCTATACGAGGAATTTCTTGATTTTGTTAACAAATAGTGACCCATTTTTACATTGGCCTTTTAACCTCCGTGTATACTGTAACGAACACAAGAGGTACAGTGTTTCTTCCAGGCATCAATTGGGGGGGGGGGGAGGACAGGACTCGTGAGAAACGTGTCTACCCCCTCCCCCCACCACCCATCCCGAACAAAACGGAATTTTTATAGAAAATATATACTTTTAAGAGTGTCCGTCCATCCCCCCCACCCCCCAATAAATATAGTCCCCCCCCCCCCCCAGAAAAAAGTGTGGAAGACGTACTTACAAACGTAACAATCTTTTCCAGGGGCATATTGCATATCCGTTTTCTATTCATGAATAGATTTCATAAAACCACCACAATTCTATGTTAAGCGTATGCCACTGTATTGAGTAGGGAATGAGAGAAGAGCCGTAATTACAGGAGGATGACTATAGGGAGGCGTCAATCGGGGATAAAAAAAAATAACCATAAAAACCTCATGTGTTGCATTACTGAATTATAAACAATCGAAGTTAACAAAAGATACTGCTACTTGCCTTAACGCACTGTTGAATTGTTTTCTACACTGATTATGTGGCAACTAAAATAAATAAAAAAATTATTTAATGGACAGGGACTAATAAAAGGCACCACCGACATCTCTCAATTTCGGGAAGAGGGAGGTTTTTTTTTTCCAGACGGGACTAACTTTTTAAACTTAAGGGTGCGATAAGTCTACCCCCCGCCCCGCCCCCCCCCCCCCCCCCGAACGAAATAAAAATTATATAAAAAATGTATACTTTTAACAGTGTCCGCCCCCCCCCCCCCGAAAATTTCAGGTGCCCCCCCCCCCCCCGTAGAAAAAAGTCTGGACACCGCATGCGAGCAATGGTCAGCAATGGGCTAGTAAATGTATTCTTTAAAATAAAACAAAAATCTCTACAGAAACTAATGTTGTAAAGTATTTCAGTCGGTGCTGTAATAAACTAATAAACCCTATCAGACCACTAGCATCACCAACGATTTTCACCACATTCCTAATCTCAACGTATCAAATTAGCAATGCGTTATCAGCTATGTCAACTTAACGAGTGTGTGAGCAGATAATCAATACAGGTTCCAGCAATACACGACTGAGCAGAGCACGCCTGGGTCTACTGGTGGGTAGCTTCAATGTTTGGAGCATGTTCAGCTTTAATGGGTACACAGCTACAGCATGTTCAGTCCGGGTAAATGTTCAGCTTCAATGGGTTCATTCATAGCTAAAGTAATTATGTCAGTGTACACGAGTGACCTCATAATACTTCAACCTGGTAACCTAAAAGTGTTGAGCATATTCAGCTTTGACTGGTACATAGCTAAAGTAATTATGAGTACAATTGTGATAATAAAATATCTCAACTGTATCCTAACAGTTTTGAGCATGTTCAACTTTAATGGGTACACAGCTAAAGTAATTATATTTGTGTACACCAGTGACCATATAATACATAACCTGGTAACTAAAGTATTAACCATGTTAAGCTTTAATGGATACATACCTATAGTAGTTACATCTGAGTACAAGCGTGACCGGGGACGGAGTGGTCTAGCCCGTAAGTCTCGTGTTCGAAATCCGGGTTCAAATCACTAGACAGAGCCTGTGTTCATCCAATTCTGATGGGTACCTAACTCACGTTAGGGAAAGTAAAGGCGGCTGGGCATAGTGCTGACCACACTATCTTTTCATATGCCGAGGTCACAGAAAGAGGAGAACTCTACTTCATTTGCCCCATAGACTGTCAGGTTTGAAAGGGATCTTTACTTTACTTGCAAGCGTGACAACAAAATACCTCAACCTGGTAATCTAACAGTTTTGGGCACGTTCAGCTTGGGTGCATAGCTATATTAATTATATTTGTGTACACGAGTACAACAGTTTTGACCATGTTTAGCTTCATATGGGAACATGGCTAATGTAAAGCAGTCCCAGTACATGCCTGGGCACAAAATACCTCATCCTAGTTAAGCTTTAATTGGTAGATAGCTAAATTAATTATATCTGAGTACAATCGTGACCACAACATGCCTTAACCTGGTAACATAACAATGTTGAGCATGTTCAGCTTTAACTGGTACCTAGCTGAAGCAATTCCGTCCAACAACATAAACTCAACCTGATCACGTGACAAGGATTGGGCGCTGGCTGGTTGATCCCTAACAGTAAAAAAGTAAATTTCAACAGTCAAAATTATTTTTGACGTAGTTAAAGTAACAAAATAGGACGAGTGGGGTGACACCGAACACAAAATGCTAAACTTTCTGTAGGTGTTGCGTGACACACTCAGTTGCCGTTTTACAACGTCTGCTAATGTTAGCCGTGCAAACATTAACACGATTCGTCGATTGTAAAAACTACTAAAAAATAATCTTTGATAACAAACAGAACGTGAAAAAAGGGGAAGCTACTCGATCAACTAGAATTATATTGACTATACGGAATTACAAAAAAACACGATAATACAGACACTGTAGTTTTAACACCACAATAGTAACAATAATTGTGTAACTAGTGTATATATATATATATATATATATATATATATATATATATATATATATATATATATATATATATATATATATATATATATATATATATATATATATCCTAACGATGCAAGTACAACGATACATGTGTAACACAGTACAAGACTTTATCTGTGTTTGTTTAACAATGTTAACAATCAATTGTAACCGCGATTAAATGTAAACCACAAATTAAGCTGTTGATAATCCCAAACTTAGTCGATTTATGAGATAAAATACTTAAATTAAAGTGGGGTTGAAAAAATTAGCTACAATTTATTTCTCAACGGACCCTGCTACGGAGGATGTCGCAACAAACATTGAGAAGTAAGACATTTTGTCTATATATAGCTACATTCTAATACGTCGTTAAGCTAGTGATGATTTCAATGTATTGTAACGTTAACTAATAAATTAAGACTCTGTATTGTGCCATTAACTAATAAATTAAGACACTGTATTGTGCCGTTAATTAATAAATTAAGACAATGTATTGTGCCGTTTATCAATGAATTAAGACTGTATTGTGCCGTTAATTAATAAATTAAGAGAATGTAGTGTGCCGTTATGGTAGTAATAATTACAATGTACTGCACTGTTAGTTAATAAATAATTAAAATGCTCTGTTGTTAATAATTACAATGTATTACGCTCTTAAGGTATAAATAATAAAAATGCATTAAGCTGATTAGATTTTCATAATTAAAATCTATTTTATCGTTATTTTAGATATCAGATATAATAATACTTAATAGCTGAAATGTACATTTTTTAAAGTTTATAAATTGTTGTATAGTTACTGAAATGCTGACATTTTAATTTAGTATATGGATACAGTATTCATATGATAATTGTTAATTAACATCGTCATTTGCAAGTATTGTGTGATCAACATTAAGATCAGCTTGTATTCTCCTAAAAGCCTAAAAGCTTAACTTACCTATGATATTCCCTCAAAACTTTACTTACCTGTGACATCTCCTTCACTTTCAGAGGTCCGTTATTTCTGGTCCCAGCCTCTGCCCTACTTGACTTACCTGTGATATCCCCAAACCTTTACTTACCTGTAACATCCCCCAAAACATAACTTACCTGTAACATCCCCCAAAACTTAACTTACATGTAACATCACCCAAAACTTAACTTACCTGTAACATCCCCCAAACCTTTACTTACCTGTGATATCCCCACAAAACTTAACTTACCTGTAACATCCCCCAAAACTTAACTTACCTGTAACATCCCCCAAAACTTAACTTACCTGTGACATCACCCAAAACTTTACTTACCTGTAACATCACCCAAAACATAACTTACCTGTAACATCCCCCAAAACTTAACTTACCTGTAACATCCCCCAAAACTTAACTTACCTGTAACATCACCCAAAACTTAACTTACCTGTAACATCCCCCAAAACTTTACTTACCTGTAACATCCCCTAAAACTTTACTTACCTGTAACATCCCCCAAAACTTTACTTACCTGTGACATCCCCTTCACTTTCAGAGGTCCGCCATTTCTGGTCCCAGCCTCTGCCAAAAATCTTCACTGCTCTGGTCACCGCCTGCTGCTGCCTGGTTGTCATGGAGCGGTACCTCACGGTACCGGACAAAACCCTGAAACATCGAGACGATGACGGTCAACAACCGAACAAGACTAACTCTCACTGGCTACACTCTCTCTTTAGAAAAGGAAAAAGTGGGAATCCCTTGACAATCAACGAGGAAAGTGAACGTTTAGGCTGTGTGTTCCCGGATGTGGACCCCTACTCCCCAGGGATTATGAAGCTGGCAGGATTAGACAAAAAACCCTTGCGATGTGACAGATACATGCCTGATATCACCTACGTGAACCAGAACACTTTAACAGTTAACAGATCGAGAATTAAAAACGAAATCATGTTTAAATTCTGCAAGTATAGAGATATATTTAAAAACGGGACAGACGATAAGAAAGCGTTGTTCGGAGCATGGAGCGAACCGTTCGATACTAGCGTAAAACTACCAGACACCACGGAGTTTATTGTTGTAGAGTGTGAAAACAAAGCCAAAGAAACGATATCAAGAACCTACCACGCGTTAGTTCCCATACATAAGGAACTCACCAAACTTAAACTTAAAAAACGTAGAATCTCAGGAGTTAAGGAAACGTTGAATGTAATCATGATAGGCATGGACGGATTGTCTAGACATCAATACATGCGGTCTATGAATTTAACCTACAATTTCTTAATGAAGGGACTTAACTCCTTCGATATGTCAATGCACACGCAAGTTGGTATCAACACATTTCCTAATTTCCTCCCTTTACTAACTGGCTACAATCTCAGTGAGGTGGAAAAATGGTGGACGTGGTCAGAAAATACGGATGAGTTTGACCTTATTTGGAAAGATTACCATAAACAAGGGTACAGAACACTTTACACTGAAGATCAGCCTATAATTGGTGGATTCCACTTCGAGAAACCCGGATTCATGTTCAAGCCTACTATGTATTACAGCCGGCCTATAAGCTTAGCCATGGAGGCCGACAGAGAGCTCTGGAGGTCGGGTCCGCATTGTGCGGGAAACGAGCCGGAAATACAATTCCATTTAAACTACATTGAACGGTTTTTCGACACTTTTCCGGATACGCCTCTATACGCGATGTCGTTTTTGACGAAACTTACGCATAACGATATGACCAATTCCAAAATGGCGGATGAAATGATGTACACATTTTATAAATCGTTGCAAGAAAAAGGTCATCTTAACAACACACTGTTATTGACCTTTTCAGACCACGGTCCAAGGCTAGGACTTATTAGACCTACTGTAAATGGTATGGTAGAGAGCCGCGCCCCCTACTCCATTTTCACATTCCCAAGATGGTTTTTAGATAAATACCCGGAAGTGACGAAAAATCTAAAAATAAACACGCGTAGGTTGACGACACATTTTGACACTCACGCGACACTTCATGACCTTCTGTACTTTAAGGTAAAGGACAAATGCCCACCGAGTAACAATAAACACGGCGTCAGTCTATTTCAGGAAATTCCCAAAAGTCGAACGTGTGAAGATATTCCAATACCACTAGAGTTCTGCCTTTGTAACCAAGTACAGATGGAACCAACAAACCCACGCGCCAACATATCCAAAGGTTTTTCAAAAATTATACTCCACGCGATCAACACAAAAAGAAACGAAACCGTTTGCACGCGACTTCAACTCAAAGAAATTCTACAAGTCGTACAGATTAAGCTTCCCAGTCTAGGGTCGGATGATAAAATGGTGTACAAAGTAAAAATACAAACCAACCCAGGAGATGCGATTTATGAAGGCACGATTCAAACTACTTTGACACAAGATGAAAACATTATGACGTATGTGGAAGAGTTCCTGTCAGGGGGAGGCAATAAAAAATTTATAGTAGGGGAAACAATCGATAGATTGAACTTATACAAAGGACAGGCTGACTGTGAGAAAAACGACGCGAGGAAACCTTATTGTTATTGTAAAGACTTAATTACATCATGAATATAATTGATGGTATGTTATCGCACATAGATATTATTGAATTGGTTACATAATTAACCTACTTGAACAAGAGGTAGTTTAGATGTTATTTGTATCTGATTATTAACGCAATTATTCAACTAAATTTGGGTTAACAGAAATTGAATATCATTATACTTTTATCAAAGAAAGTAATTTCTAGTTTTCAGAACTATAACTGTGATCAGAGGCGTAGCGAGGGGGGGGGGGGCGCCAAAATGGGTTGGAAAAACAAATTGAAAGTTTGAGAGTGGGGGGGGGGGGGTGCAAATGAAAAGTTTGAAGGGGGTGCAAATCAAAATTTCGAGGGGGGGGGGTGCAAATCCAAAATTTGTCCCCGGGCGCCGGGAAGGGTCGCTACGCCTCTGACTGTGATATACTGTTTTGATCTATTCCCATATTAAAATCTACCTTGTAGTATTTATTGACGTACTTTGATAATTTAAATGGTTTTTATTAGATTAAAAATAGCAAATTTTGTATATTTATGTTTCGCGTTTACGGGCGCTGTGGCATTAAAAACTAAAGATCATTATTGTCCTAATTATATGCATCTCCCCCCCTTTCTGTGTATATACACAATGCAGTAATGGGTACCAGATTGTTTTGTAAACAGTCGACAAATAAATAAACAAAAAAAAAACAACCTATTTCATCTTGTCTTATAAATAATCAGACTTATTACGACAACGTTTACAGCTTCAAGTGCATGCCGGTTAAATCAACATCTAACGAGGTAACACGTAATTAAGTTTAATTAATATGTAATCACTAATTACATACTTCGAGAAATATAAAAGCGTCATATTACAGGTGATGGTGGTATAGTATTTGCCCGTCCATGGGGCAGGTGAAGTTGAGTTCATCTGCTTCAGTGACATTGGTGTATGAAGGGATAATGTGGTCAGCATTATACCAAGCCGTTTTTACATTCACACATGTGAGTCAGGTACCCATTAAATCTGGGCGAACTCAGGGACATTTTACTTACTCGAACTATGGATTAGAAATCGAGACATTGGGTTTAAAAGTCGTAGACCACGCAATTCCAGTGTCTAACTTCGCTGTAGATTTAAGCATATTTTACATCCATTACTTGATGGACGCAAATAAAATGTATGGAATGCGATGTTTGTGAGTTACAGATTGTACAGTTGTGTAAGAATACAGATCGCCACATTTAGTCTGCTTATTTAAAAAAAAGTTCTGGTTATGCCACTTGTTAAACCTATGTTGCAGACTTTCTTACATGCGTCTCTTCGAGTTACACCCCCCCCCCCCCCCATCCCTTATATGCAAGTCCGCCCCCTACCTAGAACAAAATAGAAAAAAAAAGTATAATTTATATACGAAATATATACTTTAATCTATGTCCGCTCACCGGCAATTAAACTCCTCAACCACCCCTCCCGATGGGTTCAAGTACACCCTCCTCCTGTCAAAATGTCTGAAAGAAACACCCCCATTCTCCGTCGACCAACCTTTCCTCTGACTTTAATTCTTGGTTAACTACCACGCCGATATCATAATTATACGAAGAGACTCAGTGAGCTCTAATCACACATCATACACACTGTTGTGTATAGCGCACACCACCCTGTCCTTACAATGCGACACCGCAATATAATTACACGGCCTCATTCGTATTCATCGTTTGTACAACACGCACCTGATGATTACAACCTACGTAACAACACAATATACTTGTTTTATCCGTTAATACTTTGTACACACTTACGTGGAGCAAAACAAAGACACACTACACATCACAGCTGTCATAACTTCAAACACAAGATAAGAATAGACGTCTGATATCAGATATAATATTAGTGACGCGTTTTGTGAAGATTAATAATGTGATGAAACAGCTGATACAGTGAAACAAATATAACAGCATTTATAATAACAAGCTTTTAAATGCACTGAAGACAGAGTTTCTTCCAGGCATCTCTTTGGCCCCCCCCCCTCACCACGCTGGAAAAATGTTGACCCCCTCCCTGAAAATATCAAGCGCCTTCCCCCCCCCCCCCCCTCCTAGAAACAAAAGTCTGGAAGAAACACTGACAGAAGATAAGAAATATAAAACAAACTTGCTTTCTTTAATAACAGCTTCGGTCGCTCATGGGATCTTCAGTGGCGTAGCTAGTGTAGGGTGTGTGGGGCGGCGACACGAAGGTGGTGCCAAAAAAAAATTATTAAAAAGCTCAATTCTTGAATTATACACAGCCATTGTTACAAAAATAAACGACTACAACGCTTAACATGGTGACCTTACTGATTTCTTTATAAATTTTTTGAGATAGAAATAGAAAATGTTACAGTTTGTAAATGGTAACAAGCGCCTCAAACCTGTCCGATTTGGGGGAGGGGAGAGGGGGGGGGGGAGAACGCTTTTTTATTGACATGAATAACTATATATAGAAATGGGAGGGATGGGGCGTAAATTGATAGAAAGCCCCAGGAGTCGGAATAGGTAGCTACGCCTCTGGAGATCTCAAACATATTTTAGTTTTGTTAAAGAAAGCAATTTAGTCTTTTTTTTTTTTTATTTTCAGTGTAATTAAAGGCTTTTCATTAGAACGTATTTGTTTATATTTATTATATTTTCCAGTTTTTTTAGTCATTCTTTCTAATTACAGAAAACACTAATTAGGCTAAGACTGAAAATGTTTGCAATAAAGCCCGACTTAAAAATGGTGATCTGTAAAAGATAGTTGTTTGCCCCTTCTTCGTAGCCAACACTCATCTAGGAATCAGCCAACCATGACAACAGTTCATCCTCGACTGTCATCTTTATCTCGCTCTCGTTAGTAATAGGGCTGGTAAGTAGGTCACAAACCAGTTCGACGGCTTAATAAAACCTGCATGAGCCATAGAATTGGTTGGTGACCTACTTACCAGCCCTATTAGTCTTGTTGTCTCCTCTTTTGTTATCGAATATAGTAATATTTTAATTTAATCTCAGTGACTATTCTACTGTTTGATTAAAATAAGAATTAGATATTATTGCATTGTCATCGAAGACAAAGGCAGGTGGAATGTTTGCACTGAATTGGTGAAGTACAAGTGTTTCAACATTGAGTGTGCTACATCCGCAAACAAACGGACGTTGTAAACAAAGTACAAGCTGGTAAAAATGGTCGCATTTAAAATTAAACTTCATCCATTAACCGCCAAGTAGAGAGATAAAGGTGTTCAAACAAATCTTAGGGCAATTAGATGTCATCGCATGCAGAAACACTATTTTTATCTCACCCATCCAGTTGTTAGTTATCTCCCTGTTTGTGTGTCAAGTGTCACAAGGGATTAAACCGAGTTGAGATTCTAATTCAAAGTTGTCCTAATTATTTTTTGTTTTAGCAAACACACGCGTTGTTAGTTATTTCATATTCATGTACATTCAGTGATTTTATTTAACGTTCTAATGCTCTTATTCTCTAATCTTATAGGTAAGATAATTTCGCACAGATAATGTATTGTTCCGTATTTAATTAAGATGTTTTTTTTAAATTTCATACGTTAAATGTTTTTCTAAAGGATTGGTCACCTATTTTTGTTTTATTCATGATTACCCTTTATGTAACATACTGCAATAGTTAATTTTTTTTTCATGTAGTAATTTAAAAATATAAAAAATACTATTAAAAACTCGTTAAACTTAAAAAAAAGAAGTCTGAAATCTCAAGAATACAATTCCATGTCATCCTTGAAGTACCACAGTCATACTATAACTCCAACACTTCAGGGGTTGTCCTTTGAAAAACTACGCTATCCTTAACGTAACACAAGCTAGAGGTATTCATTATCTTCTTGTTATTTTAACGCGACAGCGGGATCAATTTAACTCTGTCACGTTGAAAAAGTGTTGTTTTTTCATTCATTCAGAACTGTTATCAATCAAACATATCAAAGAAACGTGTCTGGTTTTTTTTCAACTATACCAAACGTATGTATCAAAGTTTGATGTGTTTCTATATTATAGGACTTTACGGAAATAATAACATGTTGGTACAATTTTCAGTTGAATAGCGTCAATAGCAGGTTAAACAATGGCTAATGCAATTTATCAAGTTTCTATTTAGACGGCCGGGTAGCTCAATGCACTGATAACATTTGATTCAGGTCCAATGTTTAGATTCAAGGCAGGAAACTTTAGCGATAGTCGAACTCATATCACTTGAGAAAAAAACAAGTTAATGATATTCAGAAGCATTGAGATATTTCAATGCTATGATCACATTCAGTTAGGGAAAATTCGCTTATATTTGTGTGGATTATGTTTTGAGTGGAATATTTTCTTCAGCGTTAAGAAGATGACAGCTAAGATTGAAAAAAAAGGTATGATTTTTTTAATTAAAAGTTTGCTGCCGTTTTTGTAATTCTGTATACTGCATTTTTTAATATCATAAAATAGAGATTGTCTATAGGAATAGCTTTTCCATGGTTCTTACACAATTGTATATACAATCTTGTGCACACGATATTTTGTCATTGTAATATACAGGCTGCTACTTGTATTTGAGTTTTAAAATGTAAGAGTTAGGGGAAAAAAACCAAGGTAAGGATAGTTGCCGTATTCCTCCACTTCTAGGCCTTTATCACAGATAATGCAAATTATGGAAACGGTGTGGTTTAGTCATAGACAGCAACGGCTTATACGAAAGTCAAACGTTCGCAACCGGGCTCGAAACCGTGGATCGTCCTTCGACCGAACAGTCCCTATATAGATATAGCTTGTAATAAAATCTGATTGAGTTTGTTAAAGATTTCTAAGGTGGTTTATGTCTTATGTTTTGAAAATCTTTTGGGCTGGGTGTATTTTACGATTTCTATTAAAGTATAATTGTTGATGTTGATTTGACAATAGGGCTGGTAAGTAGGTCACCAACCAGCTCTACGGCTCAATGAAAACGGCATGAGCCATAGAACTGGTTGGTGACCTACTTACCAGCCCTATTCGCAGTCGCTTTTTTATTTTGTTTGTATATTAAAATTTAAAGTATTTTGACATTTAAACATTCTAGTAGCAATAATAATACTAAATTATATTAATACAGTGGCATTCTAAAAAAAAAGGGATAGCAGTCCGACTTTGATTGAAGTTTTCTAATTATTCAATGGTGATAAAGTTTGGAGGAAGAGTGTATTTTTAGCGCAATTTCCTTACAGGAATTGCGATTATTAACTCGTTATTTCTGGATGGATGGATGGATGTGTGTCCGTAATGGATGGATGTGTGTCCGTATCTCCTCCTCAACGAAGCAATATCGAGGACTAGTTTCAAAATCAAATATGTTAAGCAAAATCCGATGATGATTGTGGGCCAAAAACATTCCCGGAATTCCTTCCTGGATTTCACGGAAAAGCCAAAAAATACCTCGAAAAAATGCAGTTTTTTGCCCATATCTCGGCAACCAGACCACTTAGCGACTTGAAACATTTACCAATCGATTTCTGCCATAATTTAAAACAATATTACCGAAGAAGGTTTTCAAAAATATCCTTTCGTTCGGTCACAAAAAAATATTTACTACTTTTTTTTAACACTGAGCATCGTGTAGGCCTACTCGTTAAAATAAAACTATTTCCGTTGATATAGGTTAATATACTTGTCTTTTTTTTTAGCGCAAAAAAATATCCTTTCGTTCGGTCACAAAAAAAATTCTTATGTATAACATAAGGAAATTGCGCTTAAATTGTCACTAGACTTTTTATTAACTTGTTTTTTTTTTAAAACCGTGCCAATTGGTGTAGACATGACTTAAGCAAACGAAATTAGCGGAACTAAAAATGAGGAGATTTTGTTATTTAATATGTCGAAACAAATAAAACAAAAGAAAATTATTTTTACAAAAATGTAAAATGAAATATATACTTTGAAATATCAATAGGATCCAACCAGGGGGGGGGGAGGGGGAGGAACACTTGAAGCTAAATTTCCTGTTGGGGAGAGGGGTGAACACTGCTAAAACTATTTATTTTCTTACTAATTCTTACGTTCGTTACGGTAGACGTGATAAAAAGGGGGGGGGAGATATTTTGGACCCATCCCCAAGAGATACAAATACAAAAACCCACTGTAAGTGAGCATCGTTCATTCCAATTGTCTTTTCTTTTTCAGATTGCACCTGCTCACTTTCTAGCAACCTTAAGAGGATATTTATAACCATTCTTGTTGCTGCCATTTCTTTGTCATCCGCCATTTTCATTCTGTCCTCTTCGGAGAATTTGAATTACTTCACAGCAAATTTTATAAAGGATCTTAGTTTTAAACTCCATAGCAATGATTCAACTGATAATGTGGATACTGTCTCATATCACTCCACAAATATATCAACAAAAGGATGTGTATTTCCGGATGTTGATATGTACCACCCTGACGTCATCAAGTTAGCTGGGCTTAGCAAAACGACACTCCGGTGTGCAGGATTTATGCCGGATCTGACGTATATTCAACAAAATAAGCTGATAGTCAACAAGTCTAGAATTAAATCAGATTTTAAATCATGTAAATACCGTGAGATTTTCAAACATCCGGATAACGACAATCAGGCGAAATTCGGCGAATGGGGGAAGGCTTTCAACACAAGCGTCCAACTCTCGGACAACTCCGAGTTTCTGCTCGTAGTCTGTGAAGACAAAGCGTCTAAAACGATATCAAAAACGTACTACGCTCTTACCCCATCACGCGACAACATGTCGAAACTCAAGCTTAAAAAACGGCTCAAAATGGTTAAACCTAAAGAAACGCTTAACGTCATGATGATTGGGATGGACGGTACGTCTAGACACCAATACATTCGGTCGATGAATCTCACGTATAATTATTTAATGAAAGACCTGAATTCATTTGATATGACTATGTACACACAACTCGGGTTAAACACGTTCCCGAATTATCTCCCTTTACTAACTGGCTACAGTGAAGACGAGATAGTTGAGTGGTGGGACAGGAGTTCTCACACTGATGAATTTGATCTGATATGGGGCGACTACAAGAAAGCAGGGTACAAGACATTATTCAGTGAAGATGTTCCGTCTATCGGCGGCTTCCATTATCAAAGAAAAGGATTTTCAGTCCCACCCACTACTTACTACAGCCACCCCATCTGTTTGGCAATGGAAAAAGACAAACAGTTCTGGAGTTCGGGTCATCACTGCGCCGGAAATCAACCGGAAATCAACTTTCATTTAAATTACGTTGAACGTTTTTTCGACAGTTTTCCCGACAGTCCGAAATTCGCTATGGTGTTCCTGACTAAGTTAACACACGACGACATGTCCAATTCTAAAATGGCGGATGAACATATGTTGGCATTTTACAAAACTTTGAGGGGGAAAGTTTATTTTAACAACACCTTGATAATCACATTCTCGGACCATGGACCTAGGCTGGGTCCGATTCGAGCTTCTATAAATGGAATTGTGGAAAGCCGGGCACCTTATTCGATCTTAACTATCCCCAAGTGGTTTCTTGACAAATACCCAGACGTTGCTGAAAATATGAGGAGAAATACTCATCGTTTAACGACACATTATGACGTTCACGCTACGTTACAAGACTTGTTGTATTTTAAAGCAAGTGGTATCGTCCCACTCACACCAAGAAAACACGGCACCAGTCTGTTTAATGTTATACCAGAATCTCGCACGTGTGAAGACATCCCAATCCCATTGGAATATTGTCTGTGTAATCAGGCTCAAATGCAGGTGGTCTCTTTACATCCAAATACAACTAACGGATTGGGTGAACTCCTTTTGAAAAAAATTAACTCCAAACGCAATAAAGATAAATGCGTCGAACTTAAGCTCCAGACCGTTTTACAGATTGTTAGAATTAAATTTCCTACTCTCAAAACGAAGGATATCAACCTATATAAAATAAAACTTCAAACTTTCCCAGGCAACGCGGTCTACGAAGGGACAATACGAACTTTAAAAGTTGACGAGTATTCACTAGATAAACACATTGCTGAGTTTAATTCTAAGGGAAGTAACCCAAATATATTTCTCGGGGAAGACTTCGATCGCCTCACTTTGTACAGAGGGCAGGCGGACTGTGAAGAAGATGCATCGAAGAAGCCTTATTGTTATTGCCAGAGCTTGGTCAAGTCTTAACTGGTTGTTTTAAAAAAATAAATTGATTGATAATTAAATGTTTAAAAAGTTAATTATAAATTCACTAAATATTTTTAGAGCTTTGCATAACATGCATTTACTTTTGAGCATTATTTTTATTACTAGCCTGCCCTGTATAGCCTGATGAGGGGATATTCAAGGGGGGGGGGGGGTAACTCTTTCATTGTATATACCCAGGGGTGGTCTGGCCCGCCGATCTAATGGGAAACAATGCAGTTGAGCCCTTGGAAAAAAATCCCAAAGGGTCTGCAGGAAAAGATGCAGGTGTAATAGTTACATTAGTAGGGAACGGTAGAGCTCATGTTTGCTGAACCGAAAAGTCTCGAGTTCGAACCATCGGGCAGATGAGGCTCGTTAGCTGGGGACAGCCACTCTTCTAGGGAAGACCTCCAAAATCAAACAACTACTGCCTTGTAGTTTGTTCTTGGTTGGACAAAGGCTAGGGAAGCAAATCCAAAAAGAAAAGCAGGCTGAAATCGGAGCATATGGCTCATAACCAGTTAACACGTATACTTAATTGTGTTGGAGAGAATCCCTTCCAACATTAAAATTAAGAAATCAGAAGACGAAGAGTGTTATATTAGTGTTTTGATGTTTTTAAAAATGTATTTCTCCGCAATGTTACCATTTCCATTCCTTCATGTCAAAGCGTAACACTCTATATTTGGGGTAGTTGGGGTGGGGGCTAATGCACAAGAAAAAATTCACTCTGAGGTTTGAAGCCTTTTTTTTAATTTTAGGAGTCTTCGACATTGACATTGTCAATCTCTGTATATTACCTGTGTGTAGGCTAGACAAGATAAAAGATTAAATGAATGACTGTCTTACACATGGTGATGTCGACAGAGAGACACTTAACCTGATGTAATGCACTCGCGTTGTTCTCTGTGTACAAATGAGAAGCATAGGTAAATCTTTTAGTTCATGGACTAAATCCCAAACTGACTTGATCTCAAAGTTAGGATTAAGTATGTACACTATGGTGCTGTATCTGTACATGAAAAGGACGCATTAAAAAGTAGCATGATTATTTCACATATTTACATTATTGTTTTTGGTTTTGGTATACGGAATAAAAAGTAAGTATTGAAATTGTGAAAAAAAAAACCAAATCGAGGCTTTGACGAAAGTCTACGATTGACATCAATCTGATGCAATCGTGTGTGTGTGTGAGTGTGTGCGTGTGTATGTATCTGTCTGTCTGTCTGTCTGTGATAACTTAAGTTAAGGCTAAAGTAATTAGGTTGAGTAATTATTATTAAAAATGTCGACTTCAAGTTCCAGGTTCTAAGCGAATTCCGGTAACCTAAGGTGTACTTACTTTACATCCGATTTCTCAAAACTTTATTACTCTTTTAGTTAGGTGGATAATTTTCAGCATATAAGAATAGATTGTTTTGTCAGTTTCTGGTAATAGGAAATAGTACTTTACTACTAATGGGACATGTTAACATGAGTACTATTTCAGATAGGTAGATAAAATTTAAAATATTAGATTTTATACTAAGATTGCTATAATCTTTGAGTGACCTTCGATTTCCCAAGTGGAACTTTATTTCCGGTTTCCGGTTTCTACCACACCTGCTTTTACAGCCGGTTGGGCGAAATTTCTAATATTTGAGAATAGGGTCTCAGGCGATTATTTCTAGCATCTTTTGAGTTCTTTTCAGTCTACGTAAGTTGTGTTTTACTCAGCTGCTTCCTTGTCAAAACCAGAAATTGTGTTCCGATTTGCTGAGTTTCTTCCAGGCACCTCCTCTCGCGGAGGGGGGGGGGGGGGGGGGAAGGGGAGTGCAAAAGCCCCCCCCCCCCCACCCCCCAAACGAAATGAAAATTTATTTAAATATATACTTTTGCCAGTGTCCCCACCCCCTCCCCCCCCCCCCACCCCCATAGAAACTATTAAGTGCGCCCCGGAGAAAAAGGTCTGGAAGAATCACTGTCACTTTGGTTAACAAATTGTTATAAATAAGTACTTATACTCGCTTAACACGGCGGAATGCACTGTTGTGAATATTAGACGTTAAGAAGGGTTGGTTTTGAATTATCAATATCTGCTACTGATTTGGATTTTTAAAATATATTTTTGGTCGCTGATAAAATCTCTACATTTTAGCGACCTATTTAAACATGTCTGATTAATTTTTTTACAAGATAAAAACAAACTGGATTTTTCCAATTCGGAAAGGTGTAAAATATCTAGATTTGTGAAAATCAAGTTTTTATTTCTTGCATGATTGAATTTGAAATATTTCCATTATATACCTCATAAACAAAAGTAAAAACGATAAATACATTTCAAGGGAGACAACTCTATCTCAAACTAAAATTGAACTTTAATCAATATAAAACTCTTAGGTAACTAACTTAGAGATAAGTTATAAGCTGCTTAAATATAATATAAAGCTATGAATAATTATTTATAACAAATAAGTATTTATATATTATACTTAGAAACATATACTGTCAAATCAACAACCGTAAAGCTTTAAAATAATAGTAAAAATATATCTTTTATAAATGACCTCGCGTTTGAAATATTCGTTACTCTGTTCCCAGTTCAGTTTGATATCTTTTGGTTTATTCCTCTTTCTTCCCAAGCTAGAGATGATGCACATAAGTGTACAGTGACAATTCTTGCTGATCCAAACACCTTTCTCATGGACCATCTTCTGTCCCTCAAGCCAGTCAAGTTTCTGGGGGGGGGGGGAGAGCTTATTCGTGATCTTTTGACATATTTTGTATCTGGTAAAGTAACTCAGTATCAGCAGTTCTACAAAAATCGCACAGATTTTATCAATTCACTCGGACCATCCCATGAAGAAAACATAAGAAAGGTGAGACTGTTGACATTCATGCAAATGTGTGAAAATCGAAAGGAAATGGACTTTAGTGTAATTCAAGAAGAAATGCAGCTTGAAAAAGATCAAGTAGAAGAATTTGTTATTGATGTTCTCAAAACAAAAGCAGTCAAAGCCAGGATAGACCAGATCCCGGAGAAAGTAATTGTAAGCTCGACCACATTTAGGACGATCAGCAAACATCATTGGCAGAGTTCGACAACACCCATCAGCTTGGCAGAACAATCTTTCAAGACTGGAGATCAATTTTGAAAATGTATCACTCATTCAGTTACAAGTTGGCCTACAGCAGCAGTAATTTATTTGTTCATTGGGGAGTTGTGGTTTTTGTGATTACTACTTTAATTTTACTCTATAGATAACTTGGAATTTTTAGTCTGTGGACATTTTGGTATAAATGCTATGGTCAACATTTAAAGTACTATATTTGTTTTAAAATTGATAAAAAAGATCTTGCCTTGAATTGAGCATGAAGTTTTTGATGTAAAACTTTTGTTAAGAGGATACCTACAAACATTTTTCATTTCTCTGTGTATATAAAATTCAAAAAAAAAAATTAAACTTAGAATAAAAAAAATAAATAAAAAATAAAAAATTGGTTTATTTCTCCTTAAAATAAATCTAAGTTTCAACTTAAACTGTACACAACTCTTGTATAACTTTACGGTCAATGAGACCTTAGCTTGACAATTTGAATAACTGTGCTTTCATATGGGTTACACTAGCTCAATAGCACTCCTTTATTTTGACACTAAAGATTTTTAATACTGTGTAAGAAGTCCGTTCACGCCAGTGGCGTAGCTAGGATTTTTGGGCCTTTAAGCAAAATTTATTAGTAGGCCCCTTATGCTGGAAATAAGTTAAATGTGGCCAGCGAAAAAAATAAACAAAACAGAGAAAAAAAAAAGGGTCCCTATCTTTCTAAGGCCCTTATGCTTGCTATGTAGTAGCTACGCCTTTGGTTCACGCTAACACTCTTTTTTCAAACTTATTTTTTAATGTTGAGATTTGAATGTGACCTTATTCCATATTCCACGCTTTCTATTGGTCTAAGACAATGGTATAGTAAACTAGAAGACACGTCTTCATAGCGAGACTCAGGTTAGTGCTAGGTGGAAGGGGGGGGGGGAGGGTAAAACAAGGAACAGCGGGTTGGCACTATGGGTGGGTTAATATAAATGGAGGCTCGGGTATAGGCTTGAGTTAGTATAAGGGGAAGCGGGGGTTTTATGCTAGGAGAGGCACTGTTTTTTAGGGGAGGCTTAGGTTTGTAGTAGGGAATGCGTTGGTCTTTACTAGATGAGTCGCGGTCTGGTGCTAGGGGAGTGGTGGGTTAGTATACGGGAAGGCGAAACATGATACTAGGAGAGGGGTGGATTAGTATAAAACGTTTTCTGTCCCCTGGTAAATATTACGTGTTTAATCTATCAACTCTTCTCTGATTTTATCTTCTCATATAGATCTATATTGTTTCTATTTTAAATATTTGACCACCGACTTTTCTCATTGAAAATTTCAACACCTTAAACATAAAAACTGCGTATGATATTTGCGAGGGAATGTAGAGGCTGCGAAATGTTTTGGTTTGTTGGGAGTTCAGTGATCCAAGCAGTGTAATAAATCCCCTAACAATACTACCTTTGTGCACTTGACACTTGTGATGCAGAGCCGATGGAATTGCTCTACCGGTGTTGTATTACATATGAATGGCTTAGCGTAGGAAGTAAAACATACGGTTAAGATTACAACACGTTATGACGTAGGGGATTAGGAGGATTTTTAAAGAGGAGGGAGAGAGAGAAAGAGAGAGAGATAGATAAAAAGATAGAGAACGAGAGAGAGACTGAGAGAAAAAGCGAGAGGTAAAGAGGGAGGAAAAGGGAGAAAGATATACATATATATATATATATATATATATATATATATATATATATATATATATATATATATATATATATAATATACAAGTTAACTGTCTAGGTATGTATTAGTAGACTGTCTTAATACATTTTTAAATATTTAAACAATTTACTTACTTGGTAATCTAATCTATTTCATTGCAAATAAATATATCCATCGTGAGACAACAAATCACACAAAATATTTTTAACTCATTTCGGCCTGATATAATCGCGCTTTAAAAACGTCTTTATTTCATTGACACCCTCCGACAATTGTGAAACGAGTAACTTCATATTTGTCAATCCGGTCATACGTATTTACACACGGAGGTTTGATATGCGTTATGATTTCCCGTGTTTGTTTTATTCTCTATTTTCTTTGCATTTACATTTGTTGTTTTGAATACATTCTGTTTTATAACTGTCATTGTTCAGTATGCCTGATTTTAATCAAATGTATTCATGTGATTTTGACTGCAATACGTCATTGAACGCTGACGTGTGTGTGTGGGGGGGGGGGGGGGGGCTGTGTGGGTGAAGTAGGTCAACCCAAAACACTTGGTGCGTGACGAAGCAAGACAAAGTCATGCTTTCATAGCTGCCCGCACAGGACATTTTAGTGCTAAGGACAGCCATTTCGTTTTATTTTCATAATAGAGGACTTCTGGGAATATTTGCAGGTAAATTATTTTTAGTTCAACTTTATTTTGCTTTATCTTAATTTAATGCTAATTAAAGAAAAGAAAATCCAATATAATAAGTAATTTTAAGAATTAAGAAAATCACACATTTGCTTCTATACACTCAATCCGTGGTTTCTTTCCCTAAAACGTCGTGGTTCCCCCACACCCCCAACCTCGTTACCGGACATCGTGGTCCCCCCCCCCACATTTGGAACATCGCAGTTACCCCACACATCCGGACATTGTGTTCCCACTCCCACGTAAAGGCAGTGTGGTTCACCCCCCCCCCCCCCCATCAGGAACGTCGTGGTTTTTCCCTCGCTCCTTTCGGATGTCTTCATCGTAGTTATCCCGCCTCCCTCGCCCCCCCCCCCCACTCCCACTTCGGGACATCGTGGCTACCCTCTCCCACCTTTCTTGACATCATCATCGTGGTTATCACCCCCCCCCCTTATTCCCACTTAGTTGACATTGAGGTCTTCCACCTTTTCGAGATATCGTGTCCCCCCCCCCCACCCCGGGCACACAACCCCACCTGTACTGCATAACACTTTTTAGAATTAAAGGCCTTGTCATCTAGAGCCCGGGTAAGAAACTCATGACTTTTGGGATTATGTCGTGCGTGCCTTGAACACCAATCACACCTATCTGAACGTCTAGCGTCTCCATTACTGCTAGATATCGGCCTGGCACAAACGTATAACTTTCTCTTTATGACTGAAAAGTGAAAAACTCTCTTTACATTTACCTGCATAGGCAGACAGATCTCAAACCATGATAAGAAAACTTTTCCTGGCAACTTTGGTTCTGGCCTTCACCTTGACCTGTGTCGTGCTCTACCTGGTGAACGTGGAACAAGTTCCAGACTTCCAGGCAGCTAAAAATAAATCTCCTGGGAAAATGACGTCATATCTGTCTCCAAAAGATCGAGCAACAAAACCACTGCGTGTATATTTCCAGATTTTGACCCGTATAATAAAGACGTTATGAAATTAGCAGGGTTAGATAAGAAACCAATACAATGTGAAGGATACATGCCGGATATAACATACATCAAAGGTAACCAGATATTGGTCAACACATCGAAAACCACGTCACACAACGTATCGTGTAAGTACCACGAGATTTATAAACACCCCAATGATGACAGTAATTTTACATTTGGTGAATGGAGTAGCACATTCAACCCCAGTGTTGAACTCCCTGAAACATCTGAATTTCTCTTAGTACTTTGTGAAAACAATACCTCTATCATATCAAAGACGTACTATACATTTTTCCCTAAACGTGACGAACTGGCTGATATGAAATTAAAAAAGCGTTTACAATTAGCCATGCCGAAAGAAACGCTTAACGTTATTATGATTGGTATGGACGGTGTTTCAAGACATCAGTACATGCGGTCAATGAACCTGACGTATAACTATCTAATGAAAGAATTAAATTCGTTTGATATGACAATGTATTCGCAACTAGGACTCAATACGTTTCCAAACTACCTGACTCTACTAACTGGATACAGTGAAAGCGAGGTAATCCGATGGTGGAACAGATCCTCTTACACTGATGAGTTTGACTTGGTATGGGGCGACTACAGAAGAGCGGGGTACAAGACTTTATTTACGGAAGACGCCCCTTCCGGTGGAGGATTCCATTACCAAAAAAAGGGATTTTCTGTCGCACCCACGACTTACTACAGTCGACCGATTAATTTGGCAATGGAAAAAGACAAAGAAATTTGGCGTGTTGGTGAACATTGCGCCGGAAATCAACCGGAAATAAAGCTTCACTTAAACTACGTTGAAAGTTTATTTGACAAATTTCCGAAAAGTCCGATTTTTGCGATGGCATTTTTTACTAAACTAACTCATGATGATATGTCAAACTCTAGACAGGCGGATGAAATTATGTTTACGTTTTATAAAAGAATGAAAGAGAAAGGGTATTTAGATAACACGGTGCTCATCACATTTTCAGACCACGGGCCTAGAATGGGCGTGATTCGAGCCACATTGAACGGCATGGTGGAGAGCCGTTCACCGTACTCTATCATCACATTCCCAAAGTGGTTTCTGGATAAATACTCAAACGTGAAAAAAAACTTGAAAACAAACACAAAACGTTTAACAACACATTATGACGTCCACGCTACGTTACAAGACTTGTTGTATTTTAAAGCGAGTGGTATCGTCCCACTCACACCAAGAAAACACGGCACCAGTCTGTTTAATGTTATACCAGAATCTCGCACGTGTGAAGACATCCCAATCCCAATGGAGTTCTGTCTGTGCAACCAGGTCAAAATGGTGGAGCTAGCGTTAAACTCAAACATAGCTCATGGCTTCAGTGAAATCTTTGTAAAGAAAATAAACTCGAAAACAAATCCAACCCTTTGCGCTGAGTTAAAGCTTGACAAAATTTTAACAATAGTTCAAGTCACTTTACCATACAATCTTCCAAGGGACATCATCCTTTATAAAATCAAACTCCAGACCTTACCAGGGGAGGGAATCTTTGAAGGTACAATACAAACGCCGAAAGCTAACTCAACAACGATTGGTAAATACATCGATGAATTTATTTCCAAAGGTGAAAGTTCAAATCTGATTGTGGGTGAGGACTTTGATCGTCTAAGTCTTTATCGAGGTCAGGCTGACTGTGAAAGTGACTTTGCAAAGAAACAATACTGTTATTGTAAGGATTTGATTACAACTTGATTTATGTTTTCACTGCTTTGTTTGTTAGTTGTTCATGTAAAATAAAAACATAGCATAACTGTTGGTTTCTGTTGTTCTTATCAAATTTGTTCTATTACAAAGATTTTATAATTTTCATATTTCTAATGTTGGCTAAATTAACCTCAATTGGTAAATAAAATATCTAACATATTTAAACTTCAGCTATCACAAAAGGAAACTTTATGTTAAAGCCACATTCGGAAAAGCTAAGAAAACAAAATGTTTTTTAAAAAGATTTTGAAAGTAACTACAGCAATATGTGTTTGATTGACAACCAAAGGCCTAGGTGGAATGGCTTCTTTTCAATTATAGCGTAGGATAAGACCACATTATAAATGACTAGCTGCATACGCGTGCTCCGCCACGGTAAATCTTTTTTAAATGTACCAACTTGAGAACATAACAAAACAAAAAAAAACACAGTGTGCGTGTATTTATTATTTTCTTGACGTTATGCGAAAGAGTAAAAACAGTGGCAACTAAAAAATCCTTTAAAGTCGTTATATAAAAAACCCTACTCTATTACTTATAATAAGACACAGCGATGCACTGAAAAGCACTGCATGGTGCGACGTTTGATTTTATGGTTCCAAATGCTATAGCGATGACAGAAGGAAGGACTGACACACTACCAACCCGCTTATATTATAGATACCGTTAAATGCAATGTTTAATCTAGTTTCGTTTTAGTGACTACTTGATGAGTAATCCATCAGGTGAAAATTTGAGGATCGTTAAAAAACAGTATCACACCATGATGGGTTTATTTTTTTAAATGTAGTGTTAGGCGATTTTAAAATACTTTCATTGTTGGCGCTATCGACGTTTATACATAGACCAGTCACAATTATGAAAAGTCATTTTGATAGCCTATGTCTGGATATTTTGTTGTTAGAGATTAAGATTTTGTGAAACTTGGCAACAGAATTATCATTAGGCAAACATTGTACCTGCCGTTAAATCAATATCTGTTTCCTATTTCAGGATTACATTTTTTAAATGCGATTAAGAACCGGTTTGGTTGTTGGATTTTGTCATACTAGAATAAATCACAGAGATAAAGACCTGATTCTCACACATGTTCTTGTTATACCTGGTAGCTACATCGCCACCCCTTATACACACCGATCGGCAGAGGCTATTTAAAAGCTAGAAGTTTTTAATTTGACATTTTAAAATATATTTCATTCTTTTAATCTATTTTTATTTGAGAGAAAATAAAAATTAATATAGTATTTTCCAATTTCAAAGCGCTAGTTAAAAAGAGCTTCCCCGTGAAGAATGCACATATGTTACATATTAACGTAGTTGTTGAGTAAAGAATGTTAAGCTTTATGGCTTACGTCATACGGCTATTTGTGCTAATTAATCAACTGTAAGTTGACATAATTATTTAAATAAGACTAATTGGTGTAGTAAGTTGGTACGACTGCAAATCCGAAAATCTCAAATTCATCTTACCCGAGTTAGTAGGGCCCTGAGTCTACCAAGGCTTGATTTGGTACCTGACTCTGGTTAAGGAAACAAAGGCGGCTGGGCTCACTGATGACCACGCTATACCCTGCAATAGATGAACTCTACCTCATCTGCTCTACGTGTCGTGTGCACAGAGTTTCTTCCAGCCATCTCTCCCCCCCCCCCCCTGGAAATTGTCTATCATCCCCCCGCCCCCGAACAGGATGGTATTTATATAGCAATCATATCATTTTACTAGTGTCCGCCCCCCCCCCCCCCGGAAAAAGTGCCTCCCCCCCCCCCTCGGAGAAAAAAGTCTAGAAGAAACACTTCTTGTGCACCAACTGAAAAAAATAGAAAAGAAAATGTACATTCCCTTGAGTATAAATCACTTTATATCGAAGGGTCGGATTTTACTACCACGAAATCGATACTTAATTAAGGCTATTCAAGTTTATAGCCTACTTATACTGCATACTAATTCCACTTTAGAAAACATCTACAGCACAAAGGCAATAATTTTTACAACAGTTAACGTAGAATCGATTGTGTTGTTTCAACTTATATGCAAGCAGTAATAAAATTGGTTGCATTACATTGTATTATAGGCTAAACGACGTTAACATTTTAATCCAATGGGGTTGCATTTATTTCTAATATGAAACGTATAAAACACTAAAAAAAAGCCATTCTGTAACAACATATGTTTAGTGACTCCCCCCTCCCCTATTATCCAGACAAACTTTTATGTGGCAAAGTCCGGCTGACTAACCACATGTCAACAGTGACATCACCACACACCTGGGCTAATGAAGAGCTTTAGCACTAAGTGACACTGCTGTATCACCAAACACCTGGGCTAATGAAGGGCTTTAACACTAAGTGACACTGCTGTATCACCACACGCCTGGGCTAATGAAGGGCTTTAGCACTAAGTGACACTGCTGTATCACCACTCAGCTGGGCTAATGAAGATCTTTAGCACTAAGTGACACTGCTGTATTACTACACGCCTGGGCTAATGAAGGGCTTTAGCACTAAGTGACACTGCTGTATCACCACACACCTGGGCTAATGAAGAGCTTTAGCACTAAGTGACACTACTGTATCACCACATACCTGTGCTAATGAAGAGCTTTAGCACTAAGGGACACTGCTGTATCACCACATACCTGTGCTAATGAAGAGCTTTAGCACTAAGTGACACTGCTGTATCACCACACACCTGGGCTAATGAAGGGCTTCAGCACTAAGTGACACTGCTGTATCACCACACGCCTGGGCTAATGAAGGGCTTTAGCACTAAGTGACACTGCTGTATCACCACACACCTGGGCTAATGAAGGGCTTTAACACTAAGTGACACTGCTGTATCACCACACACCTGTGCCACTGAAGGGCTTTAGCACTAAGTGACACTGCTGTATCACCACACATCTGGGTTAATGAAGGGCTTTAACACTAAGTGACACTGCTGTATCACCACACACCTGTGCCACTGAAGGGCTTTAGCACTAAGTGACACTGCTGTATCACCACACACCTGGGTTAATGAAGGGCTTTAACACTAAGTGACACTGCTGTATCACCACACACCTGTGCCACTGAAGAGCTTTAGCACTAAGTGACACTGCTGTATCACCACACACCTGGGTTAATGAAGGGCTTTAGCACTAAGTGACACTGCTGTATCACCACACACCTGTGCCACTGAAGGGCTTTAGCACTAAGTGACACTGCTGTATCACCACACACCTGGGTTAATGAAGGGCTTTAGCACTAAGGGACACTATTGTATCACCACACACCTGGGCTAATGAAGGGCTTTAGCACTAAGTGACACTACTGTCTGTCCTAATCAACATTTGCCCAAATGATACCACAACACTTTATAAAACTAAATTATGGGTGTCATTTTTTTATGCCGAAGTCGCATAAAAATGATACCACAACACTTTATAAAACTAAATTATGGGTGTCATTTTTTTATGCCGAAGTCGCATAAAAATGATACCACAACACTTTATAAAACTAAATTATGGGTGTCATTTTTTTATGCCGAAGTCGCATAAAAATGATACCACAACACTATATAAAACTAAATTATGGGTGTCATTTTTTTATGCCGAAGTCGCATAAAAATGATACCACAACACTATATAAAACTAAATTATGGGTGTCATTTTTTTATGCCGAAGTCGCATAAAAATGATACCACAACACTATATAAAACTAAATTATGGGTGTCATTTTTTTATGCCGAAGTCGCATAAAAATGATACCACAACACTATTATAAAACTAAATTATGGGTGTCATTTTTTTATGCCGAAGTCGCATAAAAATGATACCACAACACTATATAAAACTAAATTATGGGTGTCATTTTTTTATGCCGAAGTCGCATAAAAATGATACCACAACACTATATAAACTAAATTATGGGAGTCATTTTTTTATGCCGAAGTCACATAAAAATGAGAACCCTACTTTACTGTTAAATTTTCGAAAAGTGAACTTTACTTTTTACATGATATTTGGTAATTTTAGATAGTTCACTTACTACAACGTCATTAACAGTTTGAAATCTTACGTTGAAATTAGAAATAATCTCTGCTCTCTGTAATCAAGCAGTATTAACTAAAACTGAATTGGTAAACCCAGCCTCTCTAGCGTCTTGAGGGAAAATCACCGCCCTACTCCAGTTTAACACTTCCTGCTATTATTACCTCCCATGATGGTGACATGATGACCGGAAAAGGGAGGCAATAGATAACACAAGTAGTTCGGCGCTTGAGTGGAACAGAGAGGGCAATAGGAAGGAGAACGGGATCATGAACGTCATGTTAAAAAAAAATGATGATTATAGATACCGGTGTCCGATAATGGAGTCTTCTTTTTAAAAAGTGTTGGGTTGTTAGTAGTATTGTAATCTCGACTAATTTTATGGTTAGAAATTATGGTTAGGCTTATGGTAGGACCAGGGTTAGGGTTAGGGACATTAGCCAGCCATGTGTGTATTTAGTTAACTACCAGTAACCTAACACCTCTTTTTTAAAGAATATTCCATTATCGGACACTGGTGTAAACATTCTCCCAAAGAAAGCAATCTGCATTTTCATGGTGTGCTTTTTAGTAAGTGCCTTTGTGAAATTACGACAAATTTACGGAAGTTATACATAAGTCAGCAATGTCAATGTGTTCTTTTCCTGACATTATAAGTAAACATTAATGCAAACAAATTAGAATGTTTATAAAAAAGAGTGTGGTAATTAGGATTGTTTTATCACCCATCACACCATATAACAATTAAACAAGACCATCCTAGACAGCTACTTGATGATATACTTTACAGCTTAACGATCCAAAAAGTGCTGATAGCCAGGAAGTAAAAATCACAGACACGTTGACTTAAATGCACTTTGGTTTTTATCCCAATGTTTATGTTTTAATATCCTTAAAAAATGGAGTCACTAAACACACAGAGATATCGCCATAGAGTAGGCGGTGGATAGGAAATGGTTT